ATGGATGGATGGATGGATGGAAGGATAGATAGATAGATAGATAGATACATAGATAGATAGATAGATAGATAGATAGATAGATAGATAGATAGATAGATAGATAGATAGATAGATAGATAGATAGATAGATAGATAGATAGATAGATAGATAGATAGAGATAGATAGCTAGATAGATTAGTGGTGTAGGTGCGCTAGTTGAGGCGACGGTAGGAGCCGCGCGAAGAGGCTAGGGCACCAAATAGAGTAGACTAGCTTTGAGCGACAAAATGCGTTAACAAGTTTATTCGTATTGTGTGAAATTCAAAATATATTTTACTGTTAAAACTGAGTAGCCACTCGGCGAGCAAAACATTGAGTAGAGCGACAAAATGAAACGATAGGTACACTATCAAACCAAGTTGTTCCTTATTTTATGGGTCTGGGGTCTAATGCATTAGGCGCACCACCAAATTTTAAATATACCAAAGATAATAGCTGACTGAATAATAACGGTTCGACAGCTACAGAAAAATATTATCTATAACAATGTCTACTACACCGACCTTCAGCTTATAGGGCGCGAGATAGTTTTTAGAGATATTTCAGTCCTATTTCTGTGGAAATAAATACGTCCTATAAACCACGAAATACGGTCAAATGTACCTGTGACCCACGTAGGGTGATTGCGCATAGCATTAGATGATGACAAAGCACAATAGCAGAGCTTCTTAGCACAGGATATCTCAAATTGTGATAAAAGCACCAAAATTGGCGCAAACGCGCTATGAGAGGTGCTTAATAAAATAAGAGGAACCTATTACAACACTGACTAAAATGCACTAAATTTGTAGCGTACCAACCATCCGCCCCACATACAGTACAGTAACACAGAGAATCAAAGTTTCCATATATCTATAATCGAGCAACATATCTCCGTTACTGTGACGGGATTTTACCTTATAGTATGTTTAGTTGTGTTGCGTGGTTAAAATCACTATACCTATATCAGTATTTTGTTTTACTCGCGTTTATTGATATTTAGTTCATCTCCTTTACATATAAATTCGATCATCGCCAAGTAGCATTTTGATGAAACGGAAATGACAAACTATAATCACCTGATTTAACGCCACAAGAAATTTCTATACGTGACAACTACACTTCCACGCAAATTCTTGTTTAGTGACAATCAGAGTAAACGTGCCTTAACCTTTAAAGATACTCATGCACTGACTTACGAAACAAACAAAAACATAAATTAAGTGCTATGGTACAACTTGATATTAAACATATGTGTACGCTTTCCAAATGTCTATACATACTACTTAAAGAAATAGATAATGTAATACAGAAACCTACCCTACAGTTATTTGCACGCATTAAAATAAAACATAAAAATAACCGACAATCTAAGAAAGATGTAGTTATATCACCCGATCAACGTATTAGCCAGCGAGCCGTGCAGCCGTGATTTGCACGATCAGTTTTGAAACTGCACGGCCAATTTTTTTTTTTTAATGTTCCGGGAAGGCCCCCGTAGCCCCTCCCCACCAATGAGAACGGCAAGACAAAAAAATGCACTCCAAAATATTTTTTCTGCACTCCCACAATACTGATTCCTGGCTAATACCATGCACCCGATAGCTTCAAATTACGAGGTAATTGAAGTAAATTCTCCCTCGCTATCAACGTTTACGCAAACTATATCCAGTTGCACGATCTATCAGCCTAAGGCGCCAATTGCACTATCTGGCAGCAAACGCGCCGGTCCTGAGTGTAACTCCACGGCATCGAGGCTCACCGGCACTAAGCGAATCAGTCCATT